GATTATCTTTGTTAGTTAGCCTATCTCTCCCTCTCATCCACTAAGACAGGTCCGGAGATCTCTCAGTGCTGTACCACTAGGTCTCTGTTTTACTTTTATCAGCCTTTCGAGGAGTAGGGCACTAACAAACTGGCTATTAAATCGCATTTGGTATGACAAATTCAAAGAAGGACACATCAGTGCATATTTTCAAGGTGGAGTCAAGTGTCGAGATGAAAACATAAATCCTACTGTGGCACCATTGACTACGGTATCAAGCGACGAAGGTAAGATATTCTTTATTCTCTTTCTTATCTATTATCTTTGTTTATTAATTTTGTTGTCGTTCTTTAGTTCATGATTCATTCGACCAACCAAGACCGAAGTTGACTGCCTCGCAAAGAACCAAAAAGGAATTAAAACGACTTGGTGTTAAACGACAAAAGCAACTAGATGATGAACCACCACCAAAACGACAACGAAAGCCGAAACGATTCGTCGACGAGGACTGATGATCACAAATGATACACGAATTTACGACTACTCTACGCATTTCTTTGAATTTACTGTTATCCAAATTTACTGTTATCCAAATTTATTTTTATCCAAATTTATTTTTATCCAGATTTGTTTTTATCCAAATTTACTTTTATGCAAATGTATTTTATTGTTTTATATTTATCTGTTTATTTCAATTGTATACATTATATGTATACAATATTATATGTATATATAAATGCAATACGCGTCTTACTATTTAACCTGTTGTTTTCATTTTTTCGTTCTGGTTTCCTCGTTTGTAAATGATTTAGAAGAGAAGATTATTGAAATTAATAAAATGAACACACTTTTTATAACTTTGATTTGATTCCAGTGTTCAATGGGAAATATACTTCTAAATTCTAGACTGAGTGTAAACTCTTATCGTAAAATGAATATATCGAAGTCCGATACAAATTTTTTATTGAATATTTTTCAACATATTCCACCTTCTCATGTTGCTCTTTTCTTGCGTCTCATTCGGCTGTATCCAATAAATATTGTCAACGATTCTATGAAACGAGAACAAACTATCTTGGCTATTGTCAATGAAACAACCAGTAATAATTACAAAGCTGATATTTGGCCAGAAATTATGTCGGTTAGTCGCATACCAGAATTAGCCGAACAAGTGCTATTAACCAATGAGCATGAACGTTTGCAGTTAGCAATAGAAAAACTACAAAACAGGTACGAGCTTCAACCCCATCGTGTCCGAATCCATCAACTGATTCCATTAATAAAGATATGTTTGACGTGCCATAATCGATTGGGAGAACCAAAGTTCGATGAGATTAGTACTATCATTGGACGTGATAATGTTTATCAGTGTCTGTTATATAAACATGAGTGCTGTGATTTCATTTATAAATACGGACATGCTAGCAATCGGCGAACACGTGAACGATTTGTGACGCCTGATGCAATTTTTAAACAAGAATTTATTCATTTGTTTGATCATCTTATCTATGAACGTGCATTGCTTATATCATTCACAAATCTTGTTAATGAAGCGGCATCGAATTTTCAATCGTACACGAAAGCAACTAACGTAAACATCGATCAAAATCGAAATTTTAATAAGGAAGCCCCTATCAACAGTAAACTCTGTTCAAAATACCTTGCAACAGTACGTAAATGTTAATGAATAGATTTTATTTCTCACTTTCTACTACTTCTTCTGCAGACATGGATATGGTTTGAGATCTGTCGATTTCTGTTTTTCATGACAAATTCCGAAAATATTCAAATTCCCGATATTATTCAGCGTGTATCACATGGTCTGTACTATGAAGCCAACAGCAAATTTTTTTATGAAACTTTCATAAAATTCTGGTCCCGTCATGGACAAGTTCAAGGCTGCCAGTGTCAAGCAAAAGATCAATGTATGCTCAATTCTGTCTTCGACACACATATGAAAGCACACCGTCTAGTATGTGCATACACTGCATCATGTGACGAGTCTATACCGCAAATGAGTGCTGTGGCTATTGGTTGTCCACGTGCACCACTCCGTTCATCTTCGAGTTTTTTGAAAAACTTGTCGAGTAAGCATATCTGTTTTGTTTATAAGCTTATCTACTCGTTGTTCTTTTCTTCCAAAGCTATAAACAAAAACCTTTCGTTGCATATTTAAGAAATCAATATGGCGTATCTCTAATGTCCTCTCCTTACACTGATGAATTACTACAAAAAAAATATTGTATCGATAGGTTTCATCGAAGAAACCACACAAGGCCTGAATGTAAAACTATTCTTTCATGCTCCCATCCCACTAATCAGCCATTTTTTGACAATCAAAACACTCAAGTTTGTGAACAACTGTTTTCGCATTTTACGAAACTCAAAGCAACATTAAGATCTATCGCGTGGCCATATTCTAACATTTTCTATTGCATCGTTTTTCATTTACGAAACTGTCTCCATACACAAATCTTCCCAGACAATCCTTATTTAGCTATTAACTCAAACATTCCACCACCGACTGGTGAATTATCGCAATGGACTAAAATAATGGTGACACAAAAGCAGCTTTCTCTTTGAGTCGTTGATTAACATATCTTTTGTTTCATTTAGGCTTCTAGTAGTTTTCAAGTGCACAGGCAAAAACAGCCAGAATATGAACAAGAAGATGATGATATTGAAGAAACGAACAGTGAATAATCAGTAAATGTTAACAATTGACTATAGCGATTCTGTTCTATAAACTATCTTATTTGAAACGGCGATTATTCTATTTATAAGTTATCACTCATTTTTCAACTTTCGTCACTGTGTATTATTATCTGTATATCCGATTACGGTGCCATGTTATTGTTTCCTTCAAAATATCAGAAATATTTACTCGTTTGATTGAATACATTAATTTTACTCATGAAAATCGAACATCATGATTTGAGCGCCAAATTACATGGTAAAAGACCAATTATCTCATTACTATGGCATGTCTTATGTTAATCGTATGTACACACGCAACTATGTACATTTAATTTAATTTATATTTTAATTAATTATTAGCTTTGTTTTCGTGATTCAAATGCGTTTCTCGACATCAAAATTCGAGAAGATAAAATCAATAAGTCGTAGATAAAAGTAGATATTTTCAAAGTAAAACATGGTTCGATATACAATCTAATACATGGTATTATTTCTAGTGAATCACTATCATCACACATTTGCTTCTTTATATAGAACCAACTATTGGTCGCGTATAACGAAACGTAAATAAAGCTGCGAAAAAGAATACATTTTTTACTTTTGATTATTGTTATAAGTTTTATTTTAAATAAATTCATTAGCAGACAATCAGAATAAATTATCACGAGAGGTTATAACCGTACCAATGTGTTTATAAAGGATGGTATTTATTTTTTTATACTACTTTTTATTTTACAATCAATGGGTCAACATGCGTTTCAATAATTAGTCTTCTTTATCTATCATCATTTGAAATTTTTACATGAAAAAATCTGATTTAGGAAAACTATCGAGTGGGGAAAGAAATGTCATGAATACTAATTCACATACCATATCCCATTTTCTAATTACATTCCTATCGGCGGTTGACAGGTGCTAATAAGTTCACGAACAGATTTTACTTTTCGCACACCTCATTTTCACTATCATATTTATTTGGATTTGTTGACTTTAATTTACTATGAGGAAACAGTATTACACAGGTAAAACTGAAGTGATATCTAATTTCACATTCACATCGACATGAACTATTTACATATTTAAGGCCCCCCCCTCAGAAATTGTACTTTTCTATCAAAAGATCGGTTTTGAGATAAGCACATGGAAAAGTAGCCGGAAGTGTCTACTTTCAGAATCTGTATCGCTTTTGGTTACAGAACTGAGTTTTCGGAGATTTTGAGCAAGTTTTCTAGAAGCCTCGGAAAATCGGGTCTTCAAATAATAGCTTTTTCCTGGATACTTATGGAATTAAAATTTTTCTGAACACACCGATTTGTAGAGCAAACGTTTCTGATCAAAATAAGACCTCGCACAACTCTGTATGACCTTGTATCAAAACGTTACAGGCATTTTCCTAGAAGTCCTAAAAATCAGTATTCCATACAGCGTTTTCTCTATATAAGAGTTACACCAGAAGTGCGTCCCAAGATTTTTAATAGTAGTTTGTCGTAGAGAGTTTATTCTTTTTTTGTTTAAAAGAGGAAAAGAAACTACACGGACTAACCGTCGTCGATTTTTGAATTAGGTTTTAGTTCTTTGTCAAACTGAGGATTTTTAGAAAACTCGGAAGGATTTTTCGGGTTTTGGAGGTTGTTGGTTGCCTGGAAAACCAATAAAGGCTTAATTGAAAAATCGACGCCAGTCAGTCGATGTAGTTAGATGTCTAGTTTAAAATAAAACAAACCCGAACTCTCCAGCTTGAAGTATATTAAAAAACCTTGTGACGCACTTCAGGGTCCTTTTTGGACCTTGATCTCTGGAAAACTCCTAAACGGTAAGACTTGGAGATAGAAACATTTTTTCATTCCCATAACTCATTGTGCCTAACATTTCTGGAAAGTTTCGTCAAGATCGGATGTACGATGGTGGAGATAATTTCTGAGGGGGGGCCCTTAACTGTTTAGTTCGCTAGTATTCACGTAGTGTTCAATCTGTTACATTCTTTAGAATTTATTTAATTTTTACCCAATTATTCTTGTTACTTCTACTCATTGATTTTTAAAAAAATACTATTGAACGGCCTGATAACGAATCAGAGAGACAATAGAGGACTACTTAATGCATACTAAATGCATTGATCTCCAATTATGGTGTAGAATACACAATTATGTGTCGTAAATAATGGACTCACCCGCTAGCAGAACACAAAGGATGAGAGAGCGGAAACAATCCCACCAATGCGAGACATTTCGGTATAAAACCTTATTTTCTTTGTGTCCCAATTCATCTACAATATCTTCTGTTCTTAACACTATTCTATTTCTTTGTATTAACTTTTTATTCTCAGATCTGTTTATTGAGAAAATATCAACTGAAGATGTGTCTAGCGATAATGAAGTCATTGATAACGATTCATACCAAATGCCTCTCCAGTAAATATTTGATTATTAATTTATTTTTCCTCTATTTAAGACATGTTTTTTATTCCCGAGCAAATATACTTTTAGAACAAAACAAATGAACAGTGTTCAACTGAGTTCTAGCGGAACTGGAATTCTAGTGTTTCACCAGAATTTAGCAAACATTTGTACCCTAAGTTCTAATGGTGTCAGCAGTGATGGTGTTTTGATCAAACCAGATTTTAGAACTTTATTTAACTAGACTTTGCTGGGTGATGTATGTTCTGTAGGGTAATCTTTAATGTGGATACTTTACGAAGATTTTGGAGCGAAAATTCATTTAATTAAAGTTTCTCACAATATTCATGACCTACCTGCATCAAGCACACGGCAGAATCTAGCTAAATATACTTCCAAAAAAAAATGTCTTAAATAAAGGAAAACTGAATAAATAATCAAATATGTACTGAAGAGGCATTTGCTATGAATCCTCATCAATGACTGTACCACTAGACACATATTCAATCGATATCTGCCCAACAAACAAATCCCAAACTAACATTTTGATACAATGTCAAGTGGGTGGTCGAGGGGAGTCGGGTGGCTGAGAGTGAGCCACCACGAAAAATCCGGTCCCAGATTAAGCCGAACAAGAATTTAAATTCCAGAACTTGCAGAATCTGACTTCGAATTCAAATACTGATGAAAACTTTCTTTTCCAAACTATTACATTAGCGTATCTATCCCAATTCGGCTTCGAACTACGATTAAAAAAATAGTTTCTCTAACCCTTACCAGTAAAGTGTCCATCACAATTCGAATTCGAACTTAGAGAAAAAAATAATTTTTTTATAAACTTTTACAGTAAAGTGTATACCACAGTTCGAAGTCGAACTGTGATGCATCGCAATTTGAACTGGAATTACAAGGAAAATTTTTTTTTTCTAAACTTTTACAGTAAAGTGCATACCATAATTCGAAATC